AAAATCCAGCATATATGGTTAAGAAGAAAGAGATCACAATAGAAAAGCATGCTCAGCCCCATATTCAATGGCGGAGCAATTATCAGGTTATATGGTCAGGCAACCGCTTGATCTTCGCCACAATAATAAACATTATTAAAAAAACAATCGGCCACCAAAAACGTTATTCGTGAAGTGAGCTTGACGGCATTGTTGGCTCCAACATTGCCTATAGAGCACCGATATGGATAACGGTTCGAACTTATCAAACACCAAAACACAGTCACATACACGAGTACACTACACTGATCGTATAAGAATGTGAGTGGACATCGATATCAATCAAATTTACTGACTTAAAAGCCTTTCTAGAGGGCATACAAGTTGAAACCTAATGTGCTAACACCCACGCCAGGCACAAAGCCAGCTTCCACTACCACCGAACGTGGCGTGAAACAAAACCTGCATTAAGTTTTTGCGGCTATTCTACGGGCTAGCACTCTGTTTCGCGTCATAAAGATCGATAAACTATAAATAAAACCAAGGAGCAAGGCAAGAGCTTTTCTGCACGAAATGGCCATCCCCGCGAATTCTCCGAAACAAAAAGAAATGGCCAACCCCCCCCCCCCCCCCCCCTCTTCACCACACGCTTCTTCCGATGAAATGGAATGACGAACGGCGCCTTTCGCAGAGACATCAGTGCTCGCATGTGCGGTACAGCGTCACGTCCCCGCTCTCTAGAAATAAATCGTCTGCCGAGAAACGCAAAGGGCGGGCAGGGCAGGGCAGGGCAGGGCAGCCGCGAGTCGGTGGGCAGCCGGGGTGTGGGTGGGGTGGTGTGGCCGTGTGGGGAGCCACGCGCGGAAGAAAACAAAAGCAATTAAGCGACGCTGGTTTTTCGATCTTGGACGGCAGGTAAGCCCGTGGGCCGGCTGCGCACGCGGGATTCCCCCGCGGCCCGCAGGGAGGCGCGACCAGGGGACGGCGGTTTCGACTTCGCGCCGGCAGAGGGGGCGCTGGGTGTTGGGAGTGGACGACGCGGTCTCTCTCTCTCGCTCGCGCGTCGGCGTCGGTCTTTCCCAGCGCGCGCGGAACCGCCCGCGCGCCGCGTGCGGCCTGACTCGGACGCCACGAGGCCCGCGCCGCGGTGGTGGTGGGTTCGGCGCAGCAGCCGGTTCGGCGCCTTGGCGGTAACAGGCCGGTGGTGGTTTGGGGCTTTGGGCATCTCGCCTAGCGATGCACATATTCCTTGGCTTAAACCCCACGATTTGGGCTACTGACTAATCGCGTGCTGTATTTCCTTGCCTTTTGCACTTTGTTTTTTGCAATTCGTTTGCTTCCGTGGGAGAAGACTTTGCCCCTTCGTCCTGCGTGTACAGTCTATATATTAATACAGAGGGTGTTTGTAGTCAGACACCCGGACTATGTCAATTCCCACGGCGTGCGAGCTCGCGTCATTTGATAACTGAGTTCGTGTAATTAACCCGGAAAGCTATCGAATTCTACGGCTCTCCTCTAACATGCATGAACTTCAAAGTTTAGTTTATTTCTACGGTTATTAATGACTTAAAAAGCTTTGTCCACTACTTAAAGAAAACAACATAAATCATTTTCTTACGTGCCAAATTAAACGGCACCTCCACCCTAAGGTGAGTCCTCCTTACCGTATTCTTTGGGTCTTCCTCCCTTGTACTAGTTCACTAGTTATAGTGAGGTGCCTTCAGCTCACTTGTATCGGTTTGCTCTTTCCCAACAAGTGCACTTTCACCTCCCGCAACCTATAGCTATTAAATTATTGAGCAATGCTACACGTACTAAATTTTTCTTACTAAACTTTTACTAACAATCATCTCAACCGTTTGATTTAAGTAGATGGAAGTTTATAAAAAAAAATCTAGATGCACGCGTAGCATGACACATCAGTGTTAGTAAGAATCTAGTAAGAAAAAGTTAGTATGTATAGCCTTTTCCTAAATTATTTTACCCTTGTTTTTCTCTTTTCCTTTTACTAAAATAATGTATATTTTTAAAGTCTCTAATAAAAGTTAGTCCTATTGTTTAATATATCATAAAACGATGAAAAATTTCATAATAGAGTATCCGATTAACTTTTTTTTAGGTACTACTTATGTGAAAATGAAAATGTGAAGTCTTCTCTTACTTTTGACGAGTAACACATGATAGTTTGGGGTGGGGGTGATAGCATTGATATATACTATCCCCTAGCCTAGAACAGGGGCGGATCTACAGAATTAAGGTCGACACCGACGACTTTCGGTAAAATCTATAATAAAACTGCTTATCTATATGTTATAACAATATGACCTAAGGATAATTAGCATGCTATGACACCGATAGTCACGTTATGACACCAACGAATCTATTTTCTAGATCTGCCACTGCCTAGAACCCTTCCCTTCTCTTTTCCTACTTTTTTTTTTCTGTCCAAACTCCAAACCCTCAAATGAATTATAATTTTGATGTCAGGGCGAATATGGCATATGTCTTGACGAAGGTTGAATGGTAAGTGGTCAAAATTTTCGTCCTTTTCAACCCCGTTTCAAGAATTTACAGCTAAGATTCTCTTACGTTCAAGACATGTAACAATGTTAGGTTATTATCTGAAAAACGTAACAATGTTAGGTCTCCCTGTATCAACAAATTAACAAAAATTAGCGTTAGTGGACGAAAGTATACAGGTCTTATTTCTTTGTAAGAAAAATATGCAAGAACGCTACTGGGTTTCATCAAGAGTAGGAGTACTTTTTGTGCAGCTTGCTGACGTCATGAGTTTCTCAGCTGCCGTTCTCTGTCACGAGTCACGACCACCTCAGATCAAATGTCAAAAGGGGCGAGTGACGTATTTGATACAAGATGAACGAATGGAACCTGAAAAAAGCAGTTAAATATAAGTACAATATATGTCGAACGTGTGTCGATCTTACATAAGACTAACCATTTTGCTTTTCGTTGGGAAAATGATTTAAAACTCTCGAGGGAATGCTTTCTTTTCATGTCATTTATGTAGTTGTATTTTTTTTAAAAAAATAGATTAATATGTGGTATATCACTACATAAATATATAAGATCAAATATGATATCTACAAGTTAAAAAAAACTCTAGTTAGTTTACATATATTGACAGTTAAATTTGTTTGCTTTGTAAACTTGTAGAAATCATAGACATATCATACATCAATCTACCTTTTTTTTAACTTTTGAGTAAAGTGAATTGTTGGTCTCTAAACTTGTTCACCTGTGTAATTTAGGTTCTCTAACTCTCGAAAATTTATTTTTCAAATTCCTGGACAAGTGTTTCATTCTGATTCCAAATTGCCTAGACCCCTCTATAAAATGAGGGCCTGTTTAGTTGGTGAAATGAGAATTTTTTGTGTCACATCGGACGTTTGACCGGATATCGGAAGGGGTTTTCGGGCACGAATGAAAAAACTAATTTCATAACTCACCTGGAAACCGCGAGACGGATCTTTTGAGCCTAATTAATCCGTCATTAGTACATGTGGGTTACTGTAGCACTTATGGCTAATCATAGACTAATTAGACTCAAAAGATTCATCTCGCGATTTACATGTAAACTGTGCAGTTAGTTTTTCTTTTTATCTATATTTAATGCTCCATATATATGTTTAAAGATTCGATGTGATGTTTTTGGGAAAAGTTTCGTGGGAACTAAACAGCCCCTGAGTCAATGCCTCATGTGGCATGTCAGGTGAACAACACATAGGATCCCGGATGGGTCATGACCGAAATAACATACTTTAACAAGTTTAGGATCTAAAAATGTATTTTGAGAGTTAGAATACTTATATGACACAGGAGACCGGCAGTGTACTTTACTCTTAATTTTGTATAAGTATTTAAATAAGAGTATAAGAGGACAAAAATCATTTTTATTTCTGGTGTATATAATATTTCGTCTTATCTCTTACTAGCTGGTACAAGTAACCAGTACTCCCTCTGGTAAAACAAAAATACATCATTTGATTTTCTTTCAATCATACTAGAATTTTGATCATCAATAAATTTCAAAATACTTAAGTCTAAATCATAAAAAATGATATATGTAGCTTTGTCTTGATAAAAATACTACCTCCATCTTAAAAGAAGTACACTTTTATCCATGAATTTAAACTTTATTTTGGCACCAAAGTAGTACGCTAATAATCCATAAACTAATTAAACTTTTTGTAACTAATATGGGTAGACCAGTACTTAGCCACTTCTTTATATTTTGTCCGAAAATTGCTAGATTGACAAGTAATACGAAACGGATGGAGGGGTTGTGATTAAAGTATCATCATTGTGACCTAAAAATGTATGCGTATATTTTGGTTACAGATCAACGATGCTTTTATTTATTTGACCATTTATGGTCAGAATAGACTTTCATAAATTTATCTTAATAAATAATCACGGTCCAATTCACACCAGAACGACCTAAAAATATCTTCATATTATTTGATCAGAGGAGCATGTGTTTTACAGATCAACAGTTCCTTTGTTTATTTGACTATTCATGGTCAGATTTTTCTTTTTGGTTTTAAGAAGACTGTGCACCGTCTCTCTCTCTCTCTCTCTCTCTCTCTCTCTCTCTCACGAGTACTGAGTACTGACAGGTTAGTTTGTTTCCCTATTCATTGGACAATTACGCAGTTACACACCAGTGCCCATTTTTTGACCAACTAGTGAAAACGGAACCAAATCAAAAGTGTCCATTTACCGAATCAAGTAACGACAGCACACGGCGATTTGTCTGCGCGACGAAGGCTCGCGGCCTCGCGCCTGGCAGCTCGCTCGCTCGCTCGCTCAGTCGACCGTCGCTGCTTGACTTTTCCCCCTTTTCAAAGTCGCTTCCTCTAGACCCAGCGAGAGCGGGCAATGACGGAGCGGCCACTGCTTCCGTCCGTCCCTCTCTCCTTCCGTCCCTTTCGGCGTTTGTTGTGCTCCGTCTCCGCCGCGTCACTATTTTTTGCGGTATAAAACCCGGCGCTGCCCCCTGCCTCCAACCACACCAAAACAACTCGCATCCGTTTCGTTCAAGTCCCCCCCCGAAAAGAGCTTAGTAGAAGCGCGCCACAGAGCCTTCTCGACCTGGCTCTCCTCTAGCCACCTCTGCTTCTTCTTCTTCTTCTTCTTCTTCTTCGTCTGATCGCCACCGAGGCTAAAGCCACCAGGAGGAGCAGGTTGATAGCTCGGCAGGCAAGATGGTGCTCTCCAAGGCCGTCTCCGAGAGTGACATGTCCGTGCACTCCACCTTCGCCTCCCGCTACGTCCGCGCCTCCCTCCCAAGGTACGTGCTCTCGATCTGCTCTCTCTCTGTTCTTGCTGTTCTTGGCCCAATGCAGAGCTTCTTCCAATATTTCATGGCTGACTCGATGGGATTGATCGATTGGTGTTATTAGGTACCGGATGCCGGAGAACTCGATCCCGAAGGAGGCGGCGTACCAGATCATCAACGACGAGCTGATGCTGGACGGCAACCCGCGGCTGAACCTGGCGTCGTTCGTCACCACGTGGATGGAGCCCGAGTGCGACAAGCTCATCATGGCCGCCATCAACAAGAACTACGTCGACATGGACGAGTACCCCGTCACCACCGAGCTCCAGGTACAGCACCCTGCAGGCATCTCTGCTTCGTTGAATTTTCTCCTATCACCTCGCGTTTTCTCGCCGCCGCGCGCGGCTCGAATGCACACTGGAAATCCCCGGATTTTTGGTCGATAAAACCGGCTTGGCCAGTTGGCCTGGCCTGGCAGATTGGTGATAAGAATCTCAGGCTAGAAACTTTATTTCCGAGTTTATCATTTGCGTCATTCACGGGAGGCAGAATGGGGGAAGAACATGGCACAGTTTCCGAGATGATCACCAATTCGCATTAGAAAAAATATATAGGAAGTCCAATAAATAAAGTAAGGGGATGGGAAGAATGATCACCATATCTCTTCATTTTTCGCATTAAAATATGGAAGGTGCATGAATGAAGGGAAATGGGAAAGAATAATGCTTGGTTTGGTCAAAACAGGGCAAGAGACCAAAGTTCCATCTACTGAAACGGCGTGGACAACAGTCAAAACCTGGAACACAGAAAACACCACTGCAACTTTCCCCTTTTTGTGAATGAGACACATTATTAGTCCTTTTTTCAGCCAGACATGCTTTGGGCCAGATGATGTCCTAGCATGAAATGTACAACATTTTTTTTGGGCCGGGCCGTTCTACAGCTAATTAACGAACGCTTTGGATGTGTGACGCTGTGCAGAACCGGTGCGTGAACATGATCGCGCACCTGTTCCACGCGCCGCTCGGGGAGGACGAGACGGCGGTGGGCGTGGGCACGGTGGGTTCGTCGGAGGCCATCATGCTGGCCGGGCTGGCCTTCAAGCGGCGGTGGCAGAACAAGCGCAAGGCCGAGGGGAAGCCGTTCGACAAGCCCAACATCATCACCGGCGCCAACGTGCAGGTGTGCTGGGAGAAGTTCGCCCGCTACTTCGAGGTGGAGCTCAAGGAGGTGAAGCTCCGCGACGGCTACTACGTCATGGACCCCGAGAAGGCCGTCGACATGGTCAACGAGAACACCATCTGCGTCGCCGCCATCCTCGGCTCCACCCTCAACGGCGAGTTCGAGGACGTCAAGCTACTCAACGACCTCCTCGACAAGAAGAACAAGGAGACTGGGTAACTAAAATTACTATTTCTACTACACTAAATTATCTATCTATGAAAGTGAGATTAATCGATGTCATTGCGGCCGTGGTGTGCAGGTGGGAGACGCCGATCCACGTGGACGCGGCGAGCGGCGGGTTCATCGCGCCGTTCCTGTACCCGGAGCTGGAGTGGGACTTCCGGCTGCCGTGGGTGAAGAGCATCAACGTGAGCGGTCACAAGTACGGGCTCGTCTACGCCGGCATCGGCTGGTGCATCTGGCGCAACAAGGAGGACCTGCCCGAGGAGCTCATCTTCCACATCAACTACCTCGGCACCGACCAGCCAACCTTCACCCTCAACTTCTCCAAGGGCTCCAGCCAGGTCATCGCCCAGTACTACCAGCTCATCCGCCACGGCTTCGAGGTATAATCAATGGAACACAATTAACTCTCTTGATCAGATGAATTTTTTTTAGCTGATCTGACACACCCATCGATCCGATGTTATTTGCAGGGGTACAGGAACATCATGGAGAACTGCCACGAGAACGCGATGGTGCTGAAGGAAGGGCTGGTGAAGACGGGGAGGTTCGACATCGTGTCCAAGGACGAAGGGGTGCCGCTGGTGGCGTTCTCGCTCAAGGACCGGAGCCGGCACGACGAGTTCGAGATCTCCGACATGCTGCGCCGCTTCGGCTGGATCGTGCCGGCGTACACCATGCCGCCCGACGCCCAGCACGTCACGGTGCTCCGCGTGGTCATCCGGGAGGAGTTCAGCCGCACCCTCGCCGAGCGCCTCGTCCTCGACATCGAGAAGGTGATGTACCAGCTCGACGCGCTCCCCTCCAGGCTCATGCCCCCCGTGCCGCCGGCGCCGCTGCTGGTGGTCGCCAAGAAGTCGGAGCTCGAGACGCAGCGGTCGGTGACGGAGGCGTGGAAGAAGTTCGTGCTCGCCAAGAGGACCAACGGCGTCTGCTAGTCTCAATTAGCGACAGCGCCACGGCCTACAAATCCACAAATCAAGACGCTGCTGATTGATATGATTAATTACATTCATGGTGTGAGCTACCATTACTGTATTTTTTTTTTACCGTGCTAATTTGAGTGGAGCCTTCGATTCTAGGTCCAAGGTACTAGTAGAGTTCATAACCAAAAGCCATGCTCTTGCTTTTGTTTCTCCTTCTGATAATCTGTGCAGCTGCGCTGCAGCCTGCACTCATCTCCCGAGAGTTGTAAGTTGAAACTGTACGATTTTGATGTTCCCTGTTCTAGTGTAAGTGCCAATTATTGAGTGGTATGGAAAATATTTCTTCAAGAAACCAATCAGAGCGTAATTTCCGTGCTTGATGTTGTGCTTGCTTCTTGCCGTTATATGTTCCCCGTAGTACCCTCTCTACCTGCACTTGCCTTAAACTTTTTTCTCAACCTTATCAGTAGTACTAGTAATTTTCCCCTGATTTGCCTTAACAGTAGGAGTAGTACTAATAGTATCAAGTAGTTTGTTCTAAAGAGGACTTCTAAAAATGTAAATTGGGCCCAATTGAGCCCGACTCGGACTCGACGCAACGGCGATAGCCCTATAAAAGCAACGGTTAGCCGCAACGCTCAGCCATCGAACGACTCATTGATCAAAGAGGAGAGAAAAGGAAACGACTCGTTGATCAAGAAACTGACTCGATGGCGTTGGAGGGAGCCGCGGGCGGCGGCGGCGTCGGCGGCGGTGGCGGACCACCGGGGCAGGAGGCGGGGAAGAAGGTGGGGTGGAGCAAGGAGGAGGACAAGCTGCTGCGGGAGCTGGTGCGGAAGCAAGGCGGGAAGGACTGGGGCGTCATCGCCACCGCGTTCCCCGGCCGCACCGACAAGTCGTGCCGCCTCCGGTGGAGGCAGCACCTGGACCCCAGCGTCGACGTCGCGCTGCCCTTCTCCGCCGGCGAGGACAGGAAGATCGTGGAGCTGCACCGCGTCCACGGCAACCGCTGGGCCACCATCGCGGCCTTCCTCCCCGGCCGCAGCGACAACGCCATCAAGAACCGCTGGAACACCCACCTCCGCAAGCGCCACGCCCAGGACGTGCAGCAGCGCCCGTCAGGTGGCCTCGCCCTCGGCCTCGGCGGCGGTGGCGGCGCTGGGCAGGCTGCGGGCGGGAAACTGACGCCGGTGTGCCTCCAATTGTTCCCTCCGACGCAGGCACCGCCGATCGGGGAGAACTTACCGGGGCCGGCAAGAAGCGCTGTGCCGGAGCTCCTCAAGCTCTTCCCCCTGGCTCCCGGTGATCTCAAGGACAATGCGAGCGCGGCGGCGGCGATGGATGTGGGTAACGAGGCCGTCCGCGCGCTCCCCGAGTTGAGGCTTTCCCCGGCGGCGGTGGTGTTCGACGCAATGCCGCTGCAGGCTATCCGGATGTAGATTCTTGCCTCGTCTTCAATTTTTTCTTGTTTCTTCTATTTTGTTGTTTCTGAGATGAACAGCTCTTCAATCAACGCAGGGTATTTCCTAGAGGAACTTAGTTTTGATCGAAGAGCTGTAGATTTTGATCTTCTTGGTTTCTTGCAACAATCTTGCTAGTTAGTGGTGATCAAGAAGCCGTCTTGTGATTCTAGTTCTTGTTAGTAGTAGTCAAAAAATTGAGGTATCACCTTCCTGTAATTACTTGATTGCAATAGTAATCAAGGTCTGACCATCCTGTAATTACGTGATGTCGATGAATCTTTTGTTGTGGTATTCAGTTCGAAACTTGCAATTGGTTTCATCAATGTCTGGTCTAGATTACGCTGACAGAATGACAGTATCAATCTTCAGCCGTGCTTGTGTGGGACTTTAAAACATCCTGGTATGGGTCTGGGCCAGTTCTTCAGAATTTGTTTGATGGATCAATCTGCATCCCTCCAGTCCACTTGTTGTTTCTTCCTGTCCTGTGTTGGTAATGTGATCTGGAACGACTGCCCGCCGTGGCAGTTAACTGTAAAGATGTTATCTCGTTGATGTTGTTTGTCTTTCGTTACAGACGGACTCTGCTTCTCCTGAACAGTCAGACTCTGTTTTCTCTTGCCTGTACATATTCAGTTACATTTACATTTTGGAGATGGTTTGAGTTCAGCCAACAACGGCCAAGGAGTTCGACCTGAAGGCAAACAATCTTAAAGTGATTTTTGAGTAAAAAAGTTCGATTTTTTAAAAGAATGATTCTTTTTTTTTGAATGCCTAAAAGAATGATTCTAAGTAGTTTTTATATATATAAAAAAAATTCTTCCTAGCAATTATGGGATAGAGTTGTAAACGAAAATGACAAAGAAAACCCTACAATCAAATTCTAAAGCACTGATAAATCGAAACTCCTAGTGGGCGGGCGATCGTTCCCCTCTCCTCCACCACTTAGTTTTCTTTTTTGGCACCGTATTACTTTTCTGTTTTAGTAAATTTATGCACCTATAGTTTACACATCTAAAGTTTAGAGATCCAAAGTTTATAAATCAAAGGTTTATATATCCAATTCAAATTTGAATTTGAATTCAAATATTTTTTATATATAGTATTTCTATACATCTAAAGTTTATACACCTAAAATTTATAGACCCAAAGTTTATAAGTCAAAAGTTTATATACCCGATTCAAATTTGAATTTGACTTATATCTAATTCAAATTTAAATTTGAATTCAAATATTTTTTAATATATTATTTCTATACATTTAAAGTTTATACACCTAAAGTTTATAGACCTAAAGTTTATAGGTCAAAAGTTTACATACCAATTTAAATTTGAATTTGAATTTGAATTCAAATATTTTTTTTATTTATAGTATTTCTATATATAAATTTTTCTAACTCTTGTTTTTTCTTATTTTTTAAAAAATTTATGGTATAGTAGGAAGGTAAGAAGGGGAGGAGGAAGGGGGAGAGGAGTGTGTCTAAGGGGAGGATGGGGATCGATCACTTCGCGGCTTCGCCCGTTAGCATGCCCCCTGATAAATTGTGTTTAAGAATAACTGAAGTCCCGCATATAGCGTCTCCGTGAACGAAGCAGTTGTCCCATACACTGGGACTCCGATTAAAGCGGAGCCAAAACAAGTGTCTGAAGACAATATTTCCATATTGGTTAGCTCTATGATCAGATATTCCGATCACCACAACGACGGAAAAAAAAGGCAATTATAGTTGTCTATTTGGTAATTTGTATATTCTTGTAGATAAAAGAATTTTCCTATGAGGTACTAGATGCATAGTATTACTAGATGATACCCCGCGCGTTGCGACGGGATATTTGTAATGCATGTTTGTTTATTATTGTAAATAACTTTAAGTGATTAGTATATTTGCAAGGAAGTTGTAAGTTATATATAGTCTTTCAGAAACACTACATACTAAAAAGAGAACGCAAGTAATGATTATTTAAGAACTGATTTAGCTAAGGAACACTCTTGTTACCGCTCATGGTAAGGAATGCGATTGTGAAATACTATGATAGAAGTATTTGATCACACATGGGTATAACATGCAAAGAGCCATAGCATATACATTTCGTTACTTATATTGGGATAGTAGCTTCAGTTGTGCTATGTAAAAGTGCCAATGGACTGAGGGTTCCGTAGCTGGTACGGCTGAGGTAGGCAGGGCGATCCGACAAAAGCGGATCACGCCTGGCCACCGCCGGTGGCCGGCGGCTGCCGGAGCCACGCTCGTATGAGCGCTAGGCGGGGGAGGCTCCTCACTATCGCTCCTCTGGCCGGTGGTCTCGCTAGAAGCCGAGGTCAGAGCGGCGCAGATGCCGGCCGTGGTGTCGGTGGTCAGCGCGCGGCTGTGGGTGGCGTTTCAGAGGAGAGCGGTGGAGCGCTGTGTGAGCAAAGGGCACGGCGTCAATTGTCCAAGGAGGTGGCGTGGGCAGCGGCCATGACCGGCCGCCCCAAGCCGGTGCATGCTGTGACCCCTTCGCCAGCATCGCCGATCCGCTCAAAGTTTTGGGCAACGCCGGACGACGATGACTCGGAGGATGATGATGAGGCACCGACACCGCCCCCGTTCACAGGCTCATCGGCGACATCTTCTCCGTCGACGGAGGAATTCGTCAACGAGGCAAGCGCAGCGGGATTCTCACGTGCACAGCTCGTCATGGCGGAGCAGCAACTCCAAGCAGGTAAGAACAGCGACCAACGGTTGCCGGAGGTAATCTTGTCCACGCTGCTACGGCGGAAGCTGGTGGGTCCGCCATGGCGTGGCCCTTTACCAGCGGAACGCGTTTCTCCGCCGAGAACGCTGGGCGACTGCCTGGCGTCGGCATCTCGGTGTCCGCGGCGTAGGCGGCGCGATGGTCGACGGTGCGGCGTTCCTCGTTCATCGTCATCGCCGGAGGCCGGGACGGTTGGTTCAAAATTCGTAATTCCGAAATCGTTGGGCGTTTCAAACGACTCCGATCAATTACTACGGCAGGGTTCACGGCCTGATTTCCCTCCTCTCTGCGGTGCGCACTCGTCGGTCTCTACCGCGATTGCCAGCGCAGGAGGGGAGGTACGAAGGCCGGCGCCATCTGCATCTCAGTCGGATCGGATTCGTTTGGGGCCCGGGAAGTGGTTTCGGCCCACCAAAGGATTGATCTCCCTCTTTGCTCGCTCTGGACTCAAACCTAGATCGCGAAAACTGCAGCCGCCATCACGCCCCACTGCGACGATCTCGTACGCTGCGGTCGTACGGAGAGGAAAAGCCATGGCGGCACACGGAGGCAGAGGGTTTGGCGGTCAAGGGGGAGGGAGAGGCTGGGGCTTCGCGCAAGGTTTCCACCCTGGCTTCGACGGCGGCCGCGGCCGTGGCCGTGATCAGCGCGGTCGCCCACATGGCCACAACGGTGGCGGATTCGGAGGAGGGTACGGAGGCGGATATGGCGGCGGAGGCTATGGTGGTAACAGTCACGGTGGATACGGAGGCAACCGGAACCGCCGCGGTTGGCAGGGTGGGCGCCGCTTCGCGCCGGCTGCTGGCCACGCGGCCGGTCAGTTCCACGCCGGAGGTGGCGTTCCTGGACACCAGGCCGGTGGCCAGGCGGTGGTCGGCCAACTGCAGCAGCAGGCCGCTGCTGGTCAGTTCCAGCCGGCTGGCTTCCAGACAGCGGGGCTGGCTGACCAACAGCCCGCCCAGGCGCCCTTCCAGGCACCTCTGGCTGGCCAGCAGCCTACCCAGCCGGCTGCGGCTGGCAACCAGACCAGGGAGGCTGGGGCTGTGCTCTTCCAGCAGGTCAGCCAAAGCCAGAAGGCCCAGGTGGCTGCACCGGCCAACGGTGGCGGCCTCGGTACGTCTCAGGTCGGGACGTCGGCGCTGCTGGCCTCCAGCCAAGCAGCACCGGCGGCTGCTCCAGCTGGCTCCACAAGAGGGGCCATCATTGGAGGATCGGCACAGGATCCCGCGGCGACACATCTGGAAGGCTTCATGGCAACCAAGCCCGAACCTGCACAAGCCGGAAAGCAGAAGAGCAAGGGTAAACCCTACTGTTTCCGCTGCTATACAAAGGGGCACACTTTAGATGATTGCACTGTCTTGCTTTGCTGTGATTTGTGCTTTGAAAATCATGTTCTAAAGAATTGCCCAAATGTGAAGAAAACAAATGCGATTGCGGCTCCATGTGGTTATGCAGTAGAGGGCATGGGCTTTTACTATATCCCTATGAATGACAACCCAAAGAGTAATGTGGAGGAGCACACGGTCTTGGTACGTGTCTTAGACGGTTCCTTTACTGTTGATCAACTGACAGTGGAACTTGATAGACTACTGCCAGCTAAAATCACTTGGGAGATTGGTTTGAAGGGGTCTGATGCCTTCATCATTACTAATTTTCCATCCGAGCTCCGAGAATATGCGGTGAATTGGGGTCCAATGGACACCAAGACAATTAAGGGAAAGATCCGCTTCGAGAAAGGTGTCGAGAATGATGTGAACAGATATGAGATTGACAAAGTTTGGGTTCAGTTTCGGGGTCTACCTAGCGAGCTCAGAGAATTTCCTATTATATGGGCTATAGGGTCCATATTAGGGGTCTCTAAAGCGGTGGATATGCGCTTTACCAAGACGTTTGGCAGGTCCAGACTGAAGGTGGCTGTTCTAGACCCGAACAGGATCCCAGATTACGTTGATGTGGTCATTGGTGACTTCGTTTATGAGCTGCAGTTCCGCATGGAGATAGATATGCCTGTTGGAGAGCCTTCAGTCATTGACATGGACTCTACCACAGACAATGATGGTGACAATGATGGGAAAGGCGAGGACCCAATGGAGGAGGATGCCAACAAAAATAATGGCACCCCTGATGACTTACCAAAGGATGCTGCCCCTGAAAATGCCCCTGCAGACCAGCTACCCAAGCATGGCGCGGGTGCTGAGACAGGCAAGCTGAAGGAGAAAACAGTGGCTAAGTCTGATCCGGGAAAAAATAAAAGGCCCGTGGCTGTACTATCTCAGGGGATCTCTCTGGAGGGTTCCATTCAGTGGCAGGCAAACATGTTGGGTAACCATGGCTCTTCTAGCAAACCGGTGGTGCACAAGGGAGAGACTGTATCTCCTCTGAGGTCCAGCAAGCGCAATGTGTCCTCCCTGGAGCAGGACTCCATGGAAAAGGCCACCAAACTGAAAGCTCGCAAAAACTTGGATTCCACTGCTGCAAAAGGTAACAAACCCCTCCCCTCCTCTTTTCATAATTTAGATGATTCTGTTATACTGGCTACAACTGACTCTTTAGGAATTAATTTGGGGGACG